TAGAGAAATCTTGACTATTTGTGATGTTTATCTTCCTACCTGGAAAACGATGCAAAATCTGTGAAGGATCCTTAAAGAAAACATGAGCTTAACTGTTACTCATACCAAAAGTGTGCTAGGCAATCCGTGTTTCATGTTACCGATTAAAGAAGGAATCACTCTGGTAAATGTAATCCAATCCTTTATAAAAAAACAACACTGATGTTTTCATTGTGTTAGAACTTGGCAAATCCATATATCAAGACAGAGGAGGAGTCAATGGTGACGTGAGAAGAAGGAGGACTTGGTTTATTTGTGATTCTCATTGTTCAGTTCTTTTGTGTGAATGCGTGATGCCTGTTTTTCTCTTATATACCTGATCAATCTGTACCTTCAGAATCTTTTTCCTCCTGTCGAAGAAAAAGATTCTAAGGTAAGGTCTTTTGTGAAATTCTCTTATTAGCCTTATACTAAATGTCTCCAGTGTATTCAAAGTTTTTGTTCCTGTTTTCTTTTGCACAGACAGTGATAAAACTCTCTCAAAGTGTCTCCGAGCAAACTTTTGCAACAATGAAGTTACTCAAGGTCTTGATCTCTTTATTTACTCCGAACCCAAATTCTCTTCTGGAGATCTGATCACCATCAATGTAATTGATTTCTGGCGCCCAATTGCAACGATAGAGCTACTGGATGGAAGAAAACTTAAAGATCTATGTGGACCGTCCATGTATCGTGTGTCTTCATACACTTTTACTTGGATTAGATGCATGATAGTTGGATTTTTTGCACTCCATCTAGAATTGAATCCAAATGAATTGCTTCCGAATCCGATCCCCATTGAAAAACCATGGAGAAAGAAGGCTAATGGAAGATTGATCCGACACATTCCAATCACGTTATACTCGGACGATACGTCAGGAAACCAATCAAAAAAGTACAATTGTCATATGTCTTTCTATTACACTCTGAGTGGTTTACCTACAAAATTATCAAATCAAGATTATAATGTTAATTATATTACAACCTCCAATGTTGCAAGTGCACTTGAACTTGGAGAACCAATAGTAGATGAGCTTACGTGAGTCCTGTGATTTTCTATTTGACATCACATAGATTTTTAATTTTGATTTATCTGAACTCCATCTTTGTAGTGATCTGGCAACCAATGGATTTTCAGCGTATGATTGTGAAGTTGATCAAGAGGTTCTAGTGATGGTTGTAGTCCTATGCTATATTGGAGATTCTCCGATGCATGCGGAGATATGTAATTGTATCAATCCAGGAATTACTCTTACCCCATGTCAAATATGTAATCTTTGGGTGGATAGCAAAGAAGAGAAAACAACAATAACTCATGTTCAAGAATTTGTAGGTCTTGATGAACATTTTAAACATGTATGTAAATATCTTTATTGATGTTGATTTAACAAAAATTATAAAAACTTGGATGACCTCCTTTGTCAAACTTGTAGAACCCTCTTGAATTTTGTGACTGGAACCAGACACAAGCCTTAACTAAAGAGATTTGGAACATAGGTAGCAGTTTACGTACAAAAGACCAAATCACAAAAGCGCGACGTCTACATGGTCTTTGTGATACAGTTAATGAAAAGTTGATGAATATGGTTTTACAAGTTTTTGGAACTAAAAATCCAGGCAAAGCACATATGTTGTGGCAAGATCTTGATTCTAAACTCGGGGAATGTGTTTATAATCCCTTCCTTCGGTTACCAGGTAAGTAGATAATTTTTTTTGATTGTGGTGAATTCTACATCTCACATTTTTGATTGTAGGTTTTGATGGACACCATGATACACCGGTTGAGGCTCTTCACGTCTATCTTTTAGGAGTAACAAAGTATCCCTGGCAAGAGTTGATGACTGAGCTCTCGCCGCTCAAGGAGGGTACTACTCGCCACTCGACTATCACTGCTTGATGGGGATCTTTCAATACTAAAGGACTGAAGATCCCGCCAATCATACCAAACACATTCATCCAGTATTATAAGAGTCTTGTCGGAAAGGAGTATCATGCAAGCTATCCCATTTGTTCTATTCAAAGAAATTAGTAAAGACAAAAGACATTTTTGGAGTGCACTTGTTTTTTTAGCATCATTGATATTTCAGACCGAGATCTCAAATATGGATTCTTATGTCATTGAACTTCAAAAATCAGTTCAAAACTTTTCCTTGTCTGTCTAGTTGGGTCCAATGCGCGCTGGACAAATAAACCAAAATTTCATATGCTCACTCATCTACCGTATTCAATTGAATGGTATGGACCTTCTCCTCTCTTTTTGACCAAACTTTTTGAAAGCTTTAATTCACTCAAACCATCTAGCACCTGGACGTGATATTGGAAATTGTTTCAACAGCTATAAATTGATTGTTCACATTCTTTTGGGTGGGACATGGTATGATCGGAAGCTTTGTCAACGGGTCTCGGCTGGAAGTGAAGTTCTGAAATTGTTTTCAACTAACAAAAACCTTCAACGTTCTCTTGGTGTGAATACTGCTTGGAACGTGAAACAAGGCTTGCGTGTGAAAGGTACTTGGTTTCCTTTGAAATACAATAGAGCTAGATAGAAATCATCACATCATTAATTCAACTTTCAATCAGTCACTCAAAACCGAAATCCGGAAACTGCACCCAATGATCTACCAGATTTCTTCTCTATTAATCGTCCCAATGAAAACTGGGAGCGTGTGACTCATCTAATCTTACCTAATGATCAAAAGGTTGAGGATCATACATTTCTATGGGTCCGTGAAATTTCCCTATGATGTCAAACACTGTGCTAACTCCTTTTAAAACATTCTTCAGGTCAAATCAGCCAATCAAGTATCTGATGAACTGATTGTGCGTGTCAAGAGTATGTGGAAGCCTGCCGGCAAGGAAGCAGCGGCGTGTATAATTGAGGTGAAGACATGCACTCAAGGAGGCATTCATCCATTTTACTCAATGTGTGAGATTACAAAGACGGATGATTCAGTGTTCCTCAAGCCAAATGTATGTCATTTTTCCTGAACTGAACTTCTCACATAAATTATCTCTTATATTGTTTCACCGAGAAGGCCCTCAAAATAGTTTTGAATGTTCAACATAACTGCCACAATGGCAAGTGCATACCTGGTTCCACAAAATTTAAACAAGTTGAACGTCAAGATACCACCATTCCACTACATCACATTGTTCATACTCAGAATCAGACATACATCCTGAACTCAGCTGTAAGACCTATGGTCATTACACATACACATAGTCAATACTTCCAATTATTAAAACTTAGATTCAATACCTTAAGACAATTATATAGTTCTTTCAAATCTCGTTATTGATACTGGTTCCTTAGAGATATTGGGACTGATCTCCCACCCCTCATCCTTCGGAACCAGGTAACGTCATATTATCTTTTATTACTTTCATCTATATAGGTTGTACGGATAGAGATATCGGGACTGATCTCCCACCCCTCATCCTTCGGAACCAGCTGTGTTCACGTTAGGAATTGTTGAAATTACAGATCAGGTCTCTTGGGTTCTAGAAAACCCTGCTGTGTCCCACAGCGTCCCGTCTCGTGTCTAGTGAAGGTTTCAAACCTTACATCAGCATCTTTTTACTCTGCAGAAATTCATCAGGAATTGGCTAACATCAATCAAGTAGAAGTCAAACCAGAAGGCTGAGTCAAGCCATTGATGTTGGACTGAAAAAATGGAAAGACAAAAAGGCCAAAAAAACAAAAAACTGATAGTTTATGTGTGATACACTTGTATTGCTCAATTTGAGCGTTTTTTAGGTGCAAGAATAATTTATCTCTTCTTTACTTTGCTCAATAAATCATTTCAAAATATGGTGTTCAAGAGTCTTTTGACTTATCACAAGTTTATAATTGCCATAATGATTGAGGTTGGAGTCAAATAGCAGACACTCGACCTTTCACCTGTTAAAAAATCACAAGTGTAACAGGCACTACAAGAAAGATAATATTTTCTGGGCAGAAAATTAAATTATTGATACACAAAAATATTGAGAGGCCAGGAGGAGAGCAAAAAATGGATAAAAATATGTGTCTTGTTCCCTGCGTTGAGAACTTCACTCTGCATATTTTTCCGTATTTTTACAGTCCATATTGATAAGTGTACTAACAATAAACCTTCACAGTCATCCAATTACAACCTGTAACAAGCACTGAAATTTGGCTCATTAGTGTTTAGAGAAACTTTTGATTTCTGGAAATACTCATAACTGTTTCAATTCCGGTGCAAAACGCTCGATTTTGGGTGCATTGGTAAGCTGGAATTGTCCTCCAAATAGTTCATAATAGGACTACACAGCATGCTGGTCTGCTAAAGAAGATATCATCTTTTTTATAAATTTGTACATACAGATCCATAGAATGATTGTCATACTAGCTACATAGTTCTTAATCTTATGAAAGTTCGAGAGGAAGAGTTCAGCTTTCTAATGCACTTAAAATTGAGTGTTTTGAGGCAGATTTGACAAAGTTATAAGTGTTTTCAGAAATCAAAAGTTTCTCTAAACACTAATGAGCCAAATGTCAGTGCTTGTTACAGGTTGTAATTGGATGATTATGAAGGTTTATTGTTAGTACACTTATCAATACGGACTGTAAAAATATGGAAAAATATGGAGAGTGAAGCTCTCACCACAGGGAACAAGACGCATGTTTTTATTTATTTTTTGCCCTTCTCCTGGCCTCTCAATATTTTTGTGTATCAATAATTTAATTTTCTGCCCAGAAAATATTATATTTAGTGTAGTGAGGTGGAAGGTCAACACATCATCTTCAAAAGACTTTATAATTCAATAATTTTCCTCGAGCTTCCTTCATCTCCATCACCTTCACTCTTGACCATTGATTTTGGCACTCTGTCTTTCAACCACACTTCACCTTGAACCTCAAGTTCAATTCATCATATCTCACCCTTCAAGCTCAAATCTCTATATAACAACCTTAAAACCACCTTCAAATCTCTTGACCATCAAACTCTCTTTTTCTCATGTCACATGGTGGTTCTGCCCCATATGATTATGGGCCTCACAGAAATGGTCCTCCACCAGGTCCTGCTTTTGGTATAACTTTGACACTGTTCTTTTTACTTTTTCTTTAACATCTCACTGACAAATCTCTTTGAAAGGTCCACCCTTGAACTCCAATGAGCACAACTCAAACCAGTATGGCCCAAATTCTTTTTCACTCAGGAAGGTCAATTCAATCCTTACTTGGGACCCAGCAACCCAGGGGGTCATAGGAACCCGACCAATTTACCACATCAATTTCCCAATCCCCATCGTAATTTTGTCTCTGTTTTTCACTTTGACAATCTTATTCCTGACTTAAATCCTTTTGTAGGTTGTGTACAATCATCAGACCAGCAGAATCACTGATCATTGTCTCCCTTGGATGAACAAATGTCTCAGAGCCTTCAAACAAATCCTCACTATCGCACCAACACCAATCAAAACTTATCCATGTCTAACCCAACTCAATCAATACCTCTTCCAGTTTTTGACACTCTCAACACTCAAGCTCAACTGACCAATGAAAACCAAGAGTGTGCACAAATTGTTAGTAATGTAAGATGTCTTTGTCTCATGGGATGTGTTGATATCAATTGGAAATCAATAACAAATATGCTTTATCAGTGAATGGAGAATGATTCTTCCTTGATTGGCCTGGTTGTATACACAGCCCAGTGCCATCAAGAGATTGTTCAGAAAATCAAAGAACTCTCAGCTTCCACTCCTTCTCCGACTCATGATACACCAAGCACCAACACCTCAGATGTTCTTGTTCCGCGGTGGAAACCCAGGGAGGAGCTCAAGGTCAACTCGCTTTTTGTTCTTCTTCCTACAGTGTTATTGAACTAACTTGGTTGCTATAGAAATTTTGTACGGATGCGCTCCTAGAGTCTATTGGTAATCCTGACCTTCAAGCATACACCAATACCAAAGGTGTAATAACCCTGGCAGGCCAGAAAAAGACACTTAGTCAGTCATTAGAGATGGTTGTTACTGTAAGGCTTTGAATGACTATCTTTTAATCTTACCTTTAATTGACTCCCCTACTTTTCTGATCCTATAAGCTTTGAATGCAAAATCAAGATCCTGCTTGGAAGGCCAGAAACTTTCCGACTGGATCTGAAGCTCGGTTTCCCAAGGAAGTTGTCAATCACATCAAGCAAAAAGCCAAAAGCACTCGAGAGCACTTACATGCTATTGTACACATCTTTCCCTCTGACCACAAGCTCTCGCTGACATATCTATCTGTTCCTCTAGCTCCGCCACAATGCTAGCTCCAAACACGACTCTACAGACAACCCACTTCCAACTTTACAAGACCTCTTCGTCTCAGTCAGTCCACCTCTGTTTCTAACACCTCTTCTATTAAAGCTAATATGCTGACATGTAGTCTATCATACTTTACATAGATGTCCGACTTTCCTGGTCTTGGCAGACAAACTACTACTGATAAAGAAGTCATAAAAGAAGGCACAAACAACCTCAGTAAAAAATCACGCTACACATATCTGGTGGGTAACCTTCCATTCTACCTCTATAGATTTTGTCTTGTTCTTCCCTGATGAACATCTCCCTTTGCAGAGAATGGAAGCTGTCTTTCTTGAGGTTACTACCCAAGGAAACGGGTCTGCCATCTGGAAAACTGTTGACCAGCGCTTAGGTAACCTGCAATTGAACGGGGCCCGATTCACCAAAGCGTGAGTTGTTTGCTTACTGTTTTGTTCCACAGTTACTGATCTCTTCTCACAGCTTCTACAAGCTCATTCTTGATGAAGACAAACGTCTCTTCAATGGCCAAACCACCCTTGCAGATCTCCAAGCACTCACAGACTACAGACTACCAAATAACGAACGTGTCAACGCAGTGATGTCCGCCTTACCAATACTCACCTCTTCAAATCAACAAACTAACACTACAGAAGCTTGAGGTACCTCGATTATTGTCACATATTTAATTCATCATTTATCACATGTATATTAGAATTCTCCATCCTCCATAGTTTGTACATATGTTATTTTTCTGTTTCCTATGTATCATTTCCATTAACCAATGGAGCAATACAAAAATATGTTTGTTTGCCCATAATCAAAGTAAAAAGCTTAAAGCGAGTAAAGCTGCGACCGCTCAGAGCCAGCTGAACCCAAATTGATGGTTTTTCCAAACCGTCTACAGGCCATCCAGCAACCAATAACAGCCCAGTTGACCGATGTGGAAATCAGAATTGGGGTAACCCCATTATTTTATTAACTTTCATTTTAAAATACGAGAAACTACATTTTTTAGAACATTACATCAATAATGTGTTTTTAAATTAGTTCTTTATTTAGTTCATTTCTTTTTTTTTCATTTTCTTTCTCTCTTTACTTAATTTCAATTTTCAATTTTCAATTTTTATTTTTTATCTTATTTAGTTTGATCATATATGTCAAGTTTTATTATGTGAAGTGTTATATTTTTATTTCTCTATTTTTCTTTTTATGGGTTATGTAGTTTGATGGATGAGGTGTAGTGTAAAATGAAGTCAAATTTCGAATTTATGGGTTTAGAGGTTATGTGTAGTTGAATGTTGTATGGGTTACATAGGGTGTACAGGCTTAAACTTGAAATTTCGAATTTTATGGGTTTAAAAAGTCATGGTTACAGATGTGTATGGTTTTAACAAGTTATGTGTAGAGGAATCATGGTTTTGAGGTATGGGTTTAAATAAGGCTGAATTTCGAAAATCCAGCAACTCAGACAGATGGTGGTAAACTGGGGTGGTGGTAAACTGGGGTGGTAAACTGAAAAAGCAAGTAGGGATCGGTGTGAAATTATAAATTCATCAGATTATCAAACACCAATATTGGCAAATACAAAATCACAAATGAAAAGGATGATTTTGAAACTCGAAAATGGCTTTCAAAATTCCATAAAAGGCTCCATTTTCAATCATGAGACTTTATTTCAAATGTACTACATCAGTTTTTTAGAGGGTAAATCATGTGGAAGGCATCATATGGGCGCATCTGAGCATGAAAAATCAATTATAAACCATATACAGCATTATCAGTGGTAATATCAGGTGGTAAACTGGGTAAATTCAATTTCGAGTATTTTCACATAAAATCGAATTTCATTTTAAGGGTACAACCAATAGAGTTAGAGTTTAGCTTGGCTGAGAAAAGTTGTAGAGCGGAAGCAGACCTTTTTTTCTGTCTATTCAGATTTTTGATACAGTCCCTATTTCTTATCTTTTTTCAGGTTTTAAGGGTAAATTGGCGGATTTTTCAGTTTTTGTGGTAAACAGCTCAGTTTTGATGATAAATGTGTGCTTGAAAATTTGTGAATGATACATGTGGGTGAGTTGAAGATGTTTATCAATTTTAATTTGGGGGTTGTTCAATGAATTGTGTGTGAAAAAGTTGTTTGAAGGTGGATTTCGAGTTTGAGGGTTGTTTTTGTCTTACTTTCTTTTTTTGTGTGTGTTTCAATTTTGATATAGTCAAGGGTCTCTTTTCTTCCCCTTTGGGAGCCTTTTAGTTAGCAAAAATAATTACTAGATTTTTAGAATAAGCTTTTATCTTTTATTATTATCATTCAGGTAAACAACTAATGAGAGTTGGAATTTTATAATAATAAGACCCTTATTCATCTTTTAATTAATTTCTTGTTGAGTTGTAAGCTCATTTGCTCATTTGGAAGGTGCCTGAGTGCGCCTAGATTGTGCTATTTTTGAAGTTATTGTCCTATTTCGGCCTGGTTCTTATTAATTCAAAGACTTGAAGGTCTTAAATTTAATTCATTGATAATCAAAGTCCCTGTTTAAGAAGGGCATTTCTTTCTTTGATTGAAGTCTTTCAATTCACCATCTCAAGACTTATTTCTCTTTTGATTGTGTGTGTTTGTTGATTTGTGTCTTCATTCCTCCCCTTCTTGGCTCTGCTTTCAGCTGTGTACTGAAAGAGTTCTACACCGACCAATCAAGAGATTGATTGATCTATCAAAACAAGCTGTAATCTGAGCGCTGGATGGTCAAATGGCAATCAAATGGCCCATCTTATGGCCGCAAGCCAATCTTGCCATTTGATTTCCATGCTTGTGACCGTTCTGAGACCGCCGTCCACCACCAAGCAAATCTCGCCATACGGCGGTCATTTCCGCTCAACAAAAGATGATCTCCATTACCCCGTGGTTTACACTGTCAATATAGAGTTGAAGTGATTTTGTCGCTTCTGCAAAATCCCCGTCCGGTACTACTCCCTCCTTTAGCCAAGCCTGAGCGCCCACAAGCCGCTCCATTGTCTTAGGGAGCATCCCACCTTGTGAAGGGGTGCAGATATCAGTAGCCGCCAAAAATGTCCGTTTGCAGGCACACGACGTGGCCAAAACCGACAGGTAATCACGTGCGAGATGAGCAAGAATGGGGAATTTGTGTTGATGTTCCTGTCAAAAACGAAATAAATTAGAATGTGGCAGTGAAAAGGTAGTACTAGCAAAAGAGATACTAACCTTCCATCAATCCAAAGGGGTTTGGCCCTTATTGATTGGGCATTTCCCATTGAGATAATCTTCAAGCTTAGTATTGGCCTTATAATTAACTGCGTCTGCAACTCCAAATATGTCAAATTCGTCAAGGTGGGTCAAAGCAGGTTCATCATCAGTTGGTGGACTTTCCTGTTGCTCCTCTGATTCATCCAAGTGACTCTTGAACGCTTCCTCAATAGCAATATTAGCAGCTTCTTCTTGTTTGGGTTAAAACTTGGTGAAGAACTTCCCTCGAAGGCAAGGGTTAAGTATGGTAGCCAATACAATACTTTGGCATTTGACCACTTTGTCACAGTATTTCGAAAGCCAATTAATCATCTCTTCAATTGCCTTTGTGATGCTTGGTTAATCAGACGATTCAGTTTGAAGGGCCTTCAGTTCGGAAATGACACGCTGGTATTCAGCCAGCACAATACAACCGGTGGGTCCATTACCCTCGACTTGTGCTGTAGCTTCTACAAAGGTCTACCAGAATTTATTGGAAGTTAAACACCAGGTATGTCACAGTCAGCTAGTCCTATAGAAAAAGGTCAATGTGCTCACCTTCAATACTTTATTGACAAGTTTGACTGCATTCCATTCAGCCGGTGAGATCGTTACCCCCTTGAAAAAACATGCCTTGTGATCCGCCGCTAGCATCGAGTCAATTACCTGTAGATACAGTGTGTCAGATGATAATCAAGATGATAGACAAGAATGAAATGAATGAAAATATAAGATAGGGAAAACATACCTCATGAGCCTCACATGCCACCTTCCGGCTCTGGTAGTGGCTATTCCACCGAGTCTTGCAAGGACGCATGAGCATTTGCCCTTTGTATCCCATCCGAGTAGCTCGTGACTTGAAATCACAGCGCCTGGCTGCGCTGCTGGCGATTTGACCACTAACTGTATCGACCTGCATAGAAAATCAGTTCAATGAGATCTTTATCAAAAAAATAAGTGAAGAAGAAAAACAAAAAGAAATTCAAAGAAAGAGAAGAGCAAAAATATATATAAAGAAAGACAAAGTGACAGAGCTTGCCTTCACAAGTGCAACAGCAACCAGATCCTCCTTGTCACAAACATCATTCTGGGGTTGATCCTCATCATCATCAACCCCGTCAGGATTTTCAGGTAAGCCTTCATCAGATTCATCTTCTTCGTCAGAATCCTCTTCATCCATTTCAATAGCATCATCGCCATTATTAACCTGAAGAGACAGAATAGGGAGAGCGACGCCGTGTGGAATTGTTGATTTGGTGGTGGTAACCTTCTGACCAAGGACTTTGAGGCCATGCCCGACTGTGAGATTCAGTTTGTGGGCATAGCAGCGGATATGGTGAACTGAACTATCCCAAGTCACTGGATTGTTGGCAGTTGCAAACATAGATTTGAGTTCCAGAGCCATAGGATTGTTATTTCCGCCACTGTCGGTAGTTTGGCATAACATGTAAGAGAAGTAAAGTGATGGTTAGCCAAATGGTACTTTAGAACAGAGTGGATATGAAAATATACAATGAGAAAGATATAAAAAGATATGAATGTGAGATGAATGTGAGACTTATCTTTTCATGAAGACCGTGTCGAGTTAAGAACTGTCCGATTGGTCTTGCCAAGAGAGCCCCAAAGTGCCTCCAAGCAACCATCTTCAAAGTTGGGTGAGTCGATTTATAATTCCAGTTTTCGTTGATGTAGTTTGCGGTTGCTCCGATAAAGGCGTAGTGATTACCTTTAGTAGTCCAAACGTCGTGAATTAGGCAGAATTTGCCTTTATTCATCTGTTCAAATACAAATTATAAATGATATCAATAGAAATATAAATCAGGAGAAACAAATTTACTTAAATTGCTTACCTTGATGGTATTGATAGCTTTATTGTGTAAGTCCGAGTAAAGTATGACCGACTGTTGTGCGTCCCACATCCTGGGACGTACCACAGCACCTCAATTGATTGTATGGAAAGCTGCTCGAAGGGTTGGGTCTTCAAATCGAGCCCAAGGGAGGGAATGCCAAACAACCCATAATACCAAGAGCATGTTCAGAAGGTCAACCGTAAACGTAGGCCCACTGATAAAGTCAGATAATGTTCCTCTGTCAAGTTTATCAACCATCTCCTGCTTGTCATGATATGAAGGAGGGAGGGACATGCCAGCAGTGATGGCCTTATGTCGCTATTTGCACTGAGGAGGAGCTGCGCTGCCATTGCGATGGCCCCGTAAGTTGAAATAAGAGGTTTCGGTTTTGTCGCCTGTGAAAGTTTTGTGACAAAAGCAACACTTGTACATGCGGCCCTTGAAACCAAAGGAAAACTTGATGGTTAGTAAAATATAGAGACAGAGAAAAAATAAACTTACATTGGGTGGATGAAAATAATCCAGAAGCTCCTTCACATCATCGGTCCGAGCCTCATTGTAGCCAGGTTCTTTGTTGGATTTGATGAACTCTACTTTGCTGTCGGACTCTTGAGACACATTGATATCTTCTGGTACTTCAAAGAACGACAGTAAACGATAGGAAGAAACAGGTATAGAGTAAACGATTAGAAGAAAAATTTAAAAACCATGAAATAGATGAAGGTAATATTAAAACTTACATCTGTGTTCGATTTCTTTGACTTTGATGTTTGAGTTATGCTGCCTGAGAGACTTCCTGTTGGCAATCTGGCACAATTGCTAGTTGACAACCAAGCCTGGAAGTGATAATAAGAACATATAACAATTAGTTCTCCAAAGAAATTAGCAAGAAAAATATAAACATCACGAAAAAGATGAATGAAAGAGTAGGACGTACATTGACATTTGATTTCTTTGATTTTCGAGGTGTGCCGCCCAATAGACTTCCTGTTGGCAACCTGGCACGTTTGCTAGTTGTCGACCGAGTCTAGAAGTATTCACAATATCATGTATCAGTTAATTCTCCAAATCGTTCTTGGATATCAAGCAACTTGGCATACCTTCTTGCCTTTTGAAACAGGTGTTGTCTTTTTTCTGATGGGCAGTCGAGGCAAAGCAGGACAATGGGAAAGGTTGTTTGGATTGCCATCGTCAGGAGTTGTTTGTTGAGTAAGGGCCATACGCGAGTCGTTCGGAGTAATGATGAACCCTGGCTGTGTGCAAATAGGGCTTGCCGGCCAAAGGGTTCTAGTGGAGGTCTGTCCTGGAATCTGGAGCCTACTTTGGGATCCGGTTTGGGATGAGGATTGGGAGAGGGGCATGGTGGTGATTGAAGTGAAAGTAGATGAGAAGATCAGAATGTATTTGGTTCAAAGGTGAAGAAACGATTTGACAATAAAAAAAACTCACCTTTCCATACTAAAGGATTGAATTGAGATCCAACCACATTCTGGCCATAGGTGATAGTTCTTCCAGGGGCTGTTGTAGCTGTGGTTGAGTGTGCCACCTTCCATATTGGGAAGGTGGATCGTTCGTGGAGGTGTTGAGCTTGCAAGTCAAACACAGGGATAGGCAGCTGGCTAGGTTCACTCCGCAATATATAGAATATATCGGAGTGAACCAAAATTGTGTTGCGGGTTTCTGAGAACCCACTTTTTTGGCCCCGGATTGCGCTGCGCTGGCTCTGCTATATATTGCGGAGCCAAGAACCGCACCTCAACCGCACCGCAAACACTATAAGTTGCGGAGCGGTCCCGGTATTGGCCAAGTTTACTCAAATCATCATCACCGGCTATCACTGGTCTAGTGTGAAACTTGATATACAGATTTTCTGCAATGCTCTTGGGTCCTTTTCACAGTTTTTCAGTGTGATTTGGTTCCCCTGTCCAATGACCAAGTCATTCTTTAACAGGCTTGGGAACAAAGAACTCATTGTGTAGACTGATTCATGTTGCCTATGAGCCATTTACAATACAGAAAGTTTTAGGACTTTGAGGTTTTGAACAATAAACCTTTGCCACCTTTACACAAATAGGTATGCTAATTAGTAAGACTTTCTGTCAGAGGTTTCTGAGAGTAAGGCTTGCAAGCTATGGGTGAGAACCAAAAGTTGTGTTTTCTATCTCAACAGATCATTTCTGATAGATCTCACCTTTTTGGAGATCCTCAAATGCATCTCTCACAAGAAGAGAAATCAGTGGGGGATCTGGGGACTGAGTCCCTTTGATGAACCCCATTACAGGGAGTGAAAGCTCAAAGATATGAGCCTGTGTCTGAAGGGGCCAAAAAACCCAATCTCACCAAGCTGAAACAAACTATAACATTTCCACAACCATAGATGTATCATCCTTGTTCAATTCACATAACCATCAAACAATAAACACAAAGGTTGCACTGGTCTAGTCTGAGACAAAGGTAACAACCACTATGTACCAGCATAAAGTAAATTTCCTCCAGAAAAACTGATTACATTTAATGCATTGTACAATTGAAAATGTGGATTCAATACAGAGTCATGCTGGTTCAATGCTGATTTAATAATGGTTTAATGCTGAATTGATACATTTCCAATCATTTGTTGCTCTTTGTAATCAATTTGTCCACACAAAAATGACTTTTATATACTGGTGCATAGTGCTATATAAGTGTTGAAATCAATACTGAGATGGCTTCAGCAACCCTTCATAAACGTAGACCCATCATATGGGGCTTTCATAAATTGCAAGTATCCAAGTGATTGAACAATGATTTTCATATTTGTGAGTATGGTCATTGAAGGTTCAAATCTTGCTAGTTTTGGACAGAATTTGAGTTTATGACCATATTGCCTCTGATGATTTACATTTGGGAGGAGATCGACTAATGGAAAAATATGCAAAATGATGAAACACCACACATTAATGGAACCATTATTTTTTTGAATTTTTCTGACCTCTCTTGTATTGGTGGGATTTTTCTACATTTTCAATTTTTTGAGAGCATCTCCAACAGCAACCTCTCAATGTAACAATTCTGACATACACATAAGGTGTATTTTACGTTTAGAGGGTTGGGCTTGGTTGGATCCAAAAACAACCATCCAGAGGATGCCAGTTTCCTCACATCTGGCCATGTGTGTGAGAATGGTTTTGAGGAATACTGGGTATCACATGTCAACACCTTCATGTTTGAAGGGACATTACCAACTTTTGTAAAATTGTATCTAAAAGTATTTTCACATGAAATATTGTCATGAACTTATGCAAAACTCAAACTAACTGCTTTAAGAAACTGGGCAAAAACTTTTTGAGATTTGGCATAACCTAACCAACAACACCCTACAAGGTGGCTAGCGGTACAACTATAATAAACAATGTAAAACAACAACTAATAATATATGTAAATATCACAACCAAAATATGGAATAATGAGAAAAAACTTTTATAAAACCAGAACACAATTGCAATGAAACAAAAAAGAAGATCAATGAATTTGTTAAATAGTAAATGCCATATATAATCACCATAACACTACAACGGGAGGGAAGGGTGGGTGACAAAAATAACCTTTTTTAGACTGAACTTTTGAAGAAATAGCTTGATTGGAAATCTAGACAGAAAAGGAAAATCAAAAGTAAAAAATTGGAATGGAAGAAGGTAAACAGGATGATGTCATTTTACCACTTGTGTAAAATAACAACAATGACCCGACCTGTCAAATCAATATTCTTTTACTTGAAGTTCCTACATTCCCAATATTCCAATCAGTGAATAGCCCGTTACCTACACCTAATCTTCAGTTTAAAAAATTGGACAGCTACTCCCAAGTCAATCAATCAAGAGAATTTTTAATACAATCAAAGCGGACAACCATCCACAATTCCTGCAACTCCACCATTGTTTTGCTTTTGATTTGATCTAAAAATTATTGTTGTGTGTTCCATTAACCCGTCCTCAAGATGTGTGATCTTCTTTGATCTGACATATTTTCAGGTCAACACCATTTGAAACCTTGTCTGTTTATGCATATGCAGATATGAGTAGTCTGGATTTGCGGTGGATCTGCCAAGCCCTTTGTTGGAGTTGCAGCTAAATTCAGTTTTACAAAATTTCACCTCGCCCAATCCCTAATGAAACTAGACACTATTCCACATTGCATGATACAAAGCTATGAATAAATACGCATCTGCCAAATGTCTGGATGAGAATGCCAGGACTTTGAATGAAAAAAAAAATCTTCACCCGTAGGTGACTCCATTCTGACTACATGTGTCATCCTTGTGCAGGGGCCATGCTAATCTTCTCTGTATCGTTCCAATTTTAACGTATGCCACCGCCGAAGCGGGGCGAAGCTTGACGGGCATTTAAGATTTATAAAGGTTGTCTACTTGAGTCGAGTTCGATTCTCCTCGTCGTGCATGTCTTTCTGCTCAAGAAAAGTACCCTCATATTGTTGATCATCGCCTCACAAGAGTTGGAGTCATAGCTAATTGGTATAGAGCTTCAATGTATCGTTTATGCATGAAAGTTAAATAACACTTATAGTTTTCCTTTGTCATTCTAAATATATCGTGACTCGATCCTGAAGCATCGTGATCAGGAAGAAATCTATTGGTGTGGTTGTGGAACTGGTGCACTGGAAGTTGTTAACAAACGGTCTCAAGGGATCGAGGAATGGCATTTCAGCGGTCTAGTTGCCAACCTGACCTCCTGTCATAGGAGGCTCACGGGACATTCCAATAAGAGACGTACCCATCTGTTTCATCATGCCAAAGAGACAAAGGATGAGACTTGAGTCAATCAAAACAGGGTACCACGAGAGCGGTAGCCGTGTCGTGACAACCTATGATTCTTGGAATCAGTGTAGACATCTCATTCAAGCAAGTATACCACTTGGGTTTGTCACTGGGTGTGCTGCATACTCATAGTCAAGCGCAAATGCTAATGCAATGATCAGGCACTCGAGTATACAGACAATAATTCACATAGTGGAAGAAGGCATCTTACATTCAAAGCTTTGAGGTTGTCATTCCCGACCTCGACACAAACACAAACAAAATAAGACTTCTAACTTGCAATACATACATTTGCCATCTAACTAGCTAATATCATCTCTCGCCAGATTCTTGGGGTCCATACCCCAGAAGAGGCTGAAATCTCATACTTTCTTAGTCGTCTTCCTCGACTTCGCCCAATATCATTGATGATAACTGAATCAATCGAAAAAATCCAGCAATTGCACTACTAGAATGTGCATGACCTGATCCAGGGTTTCATTTGCGGTAATGGATTCGCTTCAAGGTGAAATGAAGCTGAAGAACCTGTCAATCGATTGACGCAAGCCAAGTAAGAACCGACCAAAAATGCAATCGAGCGTCAATTTCTGATTGGCTTGGAGATTAAATAAACGAGAAATCACGTGAGTTACTCACCCCGCGATCGAAAGAGCTCCGAAAACCTCTCTTGTGACTGTGTTCCCAGTCTTTGTTGACAATCGTAAATGCAATATCTTCGTAGGGTGGTCCAGCCTTGAACAAGAGCGTTGCAACGTCTTCATTCTCTTTGTTCTTGATGATCTTATAGGTCGGCGCTCGGCTTTTATCAATCAAGTCAGGATAAAAGATATTGAATTCTAATCGCAGCCAGGACAAGATAATCTTAGTCACAGAAAACACAACACGATCAACGAAAATAGCAGATGATATACGTACTATAACCTTGGACTACCTTGGGTGGCGGATTGTCAGTGTCATAATGAGTTTGGTTGTATTTGTTCCACTCGTAACCGGTATGAACCTTGTTGAAATAACGCGGTTTACGTGGTCGATATTTGTCTTCCCAATTGTAACTTTGCCTACCCATCTCTGCTTCCAACTCAAACATCTCTTCCTCTTCTCCCAGACCTTTTTCAGCTTCTTGTGCATACAGCTTCTCGGCCAGAGCATCTCGATCCAGGACTTCTCCTCCTTTATCGGCTGATCCATCTTTATTTTTAGGAACAAAGCGAGTATTGAGTACAGCCTGTCGAGCGTGAATTACTTGAAGCCATTCATCCATAGGAAGCACAAGATCAAGTTTATGGTCATCGATGTCAAGTTGAGTAAGGGGTTGAGGTTCCATCTCTGGTTCGTAATCTTCGGGCTCTTCTTTACTGAGATCAACGATTTCTTCGTCCAAAGGATCGTTAGCCTCCAGTTGAGATGTACTTGTATGCGTAACACGGGTAGGTGGGACAAGGGAAGAAGCAAGTTCGGCTTGAACCTTGACAGCCTCATCACGTTGGCGACGACGCAAGTGTTCCAGTCGATTGCGTAAGACGACTTCATGCATAGCCTTCAATTTTGCCTTTGCCTTCCAGACCTTTAGTTGAACCAACAAACTTTGCCAATATTCTGGATCTACTGGATCGTTCCCTGCCAATTTAGTCTTGATACTTGATTCCAAAGCTATCAGTTTTTCATAAGTTTTTCCCTGTAGTAGAGCGGTGACTTCAGATCGAATAGCTGCACCAGAGCGCAAAGCATCGACTGCAGAGTTACGCTCATTATTTAATTGTTCTAAAGCATCATCACAAACACATAGTAAACAGTTCCAAAATTCGAGTTTTGATGCAGACTTTTCTAGTGCGATGTGCATCTTGATGTCCTCTGCTAGCTCTTGTGTCTCTTCAAGTGATAAGTTATCGAAAATCGTATAAGGTTCATCAAGATCTACCTCAAGACCAGCGCCATCGTCTTCGTCTTCACCGTCTTCATTCATTATCTCGGTGAGTGACTTCTTCTTCTCTTTTTCCAACTTTCTCTGTTTCACTATTTCGTCATTCTCATCTTCATCTTCCGGTGTAAGTTCTCGATGACCCCATTTAAGATTTAGAGCAAGTAGGTCGATTGGTTTAGCTCGTTTCTCTCGTACCCTAATCTCTGCTCGTTTTTGAGCTTGTTCAAGTTGAAAATCGTCTTCTTTAGCGATCCATTCGGCCATTTGAGCACTCTCGGCCATTTGGGCCATCCTATTACTCTCCATTTCCCTCAGCTCTAGCTCCTTTTCACGTTCAGCACGACGAATGTTAAGTCTTTCTAGTTCCTCCTTAGCTTCTGCTCGTCTCATCGCATCCCGTCGGGCGGCCTCTTCAGCACTAAGACCAAGTTTACGTTCACGCTCTCGTTTCTTTCCCCATTCGAATTGAGATGATAAATTTGCATCATGAAAAGGATTATCAGTTGCGGAGTAAACTGAAAGTTCAGCAGCTGCTCGACGATCTTCTTCTTCCCTTAGACTACGTCGTTCAGATCTACGTTCGAGTTTTCGAGAGGCTTTTTCTTCTTTTTTCCGTACACGTCGCTCACTTGAAGTTTCACGCTTCCTGGAAGATAATTCTGATTAAAAAAGATGCCGCCAATGTGCATAGATGTTATGAGAGCTTGACTTTAGGTGTCAGACTGACTTGGATGTTGAGCCTGGATGTGATTTCTTTTCTCGAGAATGTTTCTTCCTATCTCCTGAATGTGAACGATCTGAATCTTCAGAAGAATAATCTCTTTCGCGACCTCTACCACGTTTACGAGAATCACGTCGATCGTCTTCATCTCGATCAGGTGAACGGTATCGATGACTGTAATCTTCTCGATTTGAGGAATGTCGATCACGAGTGATTTCTCTATCTCTATCTCTATCTGATTTCCTGTGAGATGGTGGTGAGGGTGGTCGCATTTCTCTACGTGACATGATGATACTTGGCTGGAATAGACTGATAATAAGAAGTTGTGGTATCGTCCAATCGAGGTCCCAGTTTGCAATCTAAAAATGACCACCCGGTCCGGGACTCGCCTGGGGTCCGCTCCGCCAGGCTGTGTGGTTCAAAAACTCGCTCATCGGTACACTTTGGAATGGGTCAAGCTTTCAAGGTTTATTTTGATGCAAAAAAAAGTGAAATTGGCATTTTCAAAGAATCATCATGTGGTTTAGTATAGGTTGATCATTTCATACACTTCTTTGCTTAATGTGGTTGCAAGAAAAAATAGATGAACTCAAGAAAAAGAATCAAAATCAATGAATTTCCTGTTCAAAAATGATCAATTCAGAAAGGTTTTCAACATTGAAAGTTATCATTACAAACAGTTGTCAGTACAAATTTCTATTCTTTTTTATAAGTTGTCAGTACAGGATGCTATTGTTTTTTAAAAGTTGCCAGCCCAAAATGCTATTCTTCAAAAGATACTTCAAAAACAAAAAATATGTCTTTTTATTTGAGTTTTGTTGGAAGGTGATGTTCAATAATGTTTTTTGGTGGTTTGTTATTATTTTGAAGTATGAAATATATGCATCAAATTCAAGAGGATCCAGATATACTCCAATAGGATCTTGCAATAAATGTATCGAATTCAAATGGTATCTTCAAGAGTACTTTAGACCAAAAGGAAGGGAGAAAGTAATTTTGTTAAATGGGGCTCAATATCAACCAAATCCATCAACCAGCCTATCAAGTAAACCAAGTGCCTATGTTACCCTAAGCTTTTCTTCCAGATCAAAGGGCTGACCCAAGTCTTAAACAACCCCTTTGCTCCAGCTTTTCATCCAGGCAAACTTTAAACAATTGCCACTCTCCTTGGTTTCTTCATTGCATCACTAGGTACAGGTGTTTTAATTTGTGACCCAAGATATGTAAGAATCTCTTCTGTATCATATGATCTATCATATTTTGGTGGAAAATTATGCTTGAGTGATTGTGGTCCAAGATCAGTTTGCCTTGCTGTTGCTTTGGACCTCCTATCATTTGTGGACCCTTCCCTGCGGATCGGTCTCTTACCACATCTCTGGTGCAGGTGTGGCTTCACAACACAGGATCTAGTGTACTTTCTCTAACCCTGAATTTTGTGATCTTTCCCAAGCTTGTGTTCAGAGATATTTCCATGTGATTTGAGATGGACAATACTACTATCAAAAAGCTGCCAAGGATATTTTCAAGCTGCAGGTAAAACTGAATTCAAAGGTGGAATAATTTGATGCAATATTCTTCCTGAAGAGATATTCTACAATTTTTCAGTTCAAAGAGAGACAGGTTAGGATGATAAATTGTGATACATTACTCTCAATACATTATCTACAGGTTTGTACAATCTTGATCATATATCCCCTACTTCCAGTGGACCAATTCTCACTTGGTCCATTGAATATCAAATTTTTTTACTTCCTTTTTAACTCAATATGGATGTTGGTTTAATCAAATGTTGTGGTTGAGATGCATCAGGTAACCTTTTGTGGAAGAAAAGTGATTCCAGTGATATCTTCAGAAAAGTATATGTCAAGGATGTATTCCAACAAAATCAGATGTTTTGCAACAATTGATGTGATGTTCCATTATTGATGTGCTCTTGAGGATCCTCTCCAAAATTCTGTAAAAATATCCGACGGTATTGGATGTTTCAATTTCCCTGTAAAGGATTATGATCACGCTTAGTCTTACGGAGGAAGACTGTAAGTGATCAAAAGAGAAACAACAATACCTGTAAAGGATTATGATCACGCTTAGTCTTACGGAGGAAGACTGTAAGTGATCAAAAGAGAAACAACAATCTGTGAAGAAGATTGTAACACAGTAAAAGGTTGAGTTCGATTACCACAAGAGAACAAACACAAAGTAAAGATAACTAACACCTGTAAAGGATTATGATCACGCTTAGTCTTACGGAGGAAGACTGTAAGTGATCGAAAGAGAAACAACAATCTGTGAAGAAGATTGTAACACAGTAAAAGGTTGAGTTCGATAGAGAGAAAGTACAAAGTGATGATTGGACTGTTCTATATAAGACTCTAGAGAACTCAATTACACGTCATGATGATAGAAGAGAAATATAACCTGATATGCGCATCTGAGTAAAAACGTCTATAAGTGTAATGCGCCTAAGTGATCACCTTGTGATCCTGATTTGTAACACTGAACCTCCATTCCCTAAAAAAAATGCTGCTTCCCCTCAAGCACTACCAGTTTCTTTGGCTCTCCTAATTGTCATGAGCTTTTTAGACTCATTCATATTCTTGTAATGGAAAGGAAAGAGTTCTGCCAGGACCTGTGTGACATGAGTTTGATCTCAAAACCTCTATATATCTTCCTGCACACTATTTCTGGCTAATTTGAGCCACCTGGGTCTGAACAGACATATTTTCCTTGCTGACATAAAAGTGGGCCCAGATGTAATTTAAGATTCTACGTTTCTGCCCTCTCTGCAGCGACACACTAGTTATCCAGTTCACCTGAGATCAGTATCACCTTTCTTTGCCTTGAAAGTGTTATCTATCATCATCTAGCCTCTACAATTGCTCTACTCTAGTCTTATCCACTGCCTGGCCCCAAATCTGGCCTTGGGACCCAACTCTTTTACCCTCTCTAGTGATACCCAGTCTGTTTTTTGTGTGGCACTGATAGGGTTGATTTTGATTGAATCCTTTGGTTTGATCATTAGGCACACATATCAGGTACCTAAGTACCTAATATCAGACTATTAAGTACCATAATGTCAAGCTCCCAGACCCTTCAACACAAATATGAGGTTCAGAGTGAAAAAATACAAAATAAAACCACTGATCAGGTTGACTTGCCAGATTATTTCCTATCTCTAGCCCAGAAGTGACCCATACAATCAATACATTTATTTCTAGGGATCTGGGTTAGAACATTTTGTGATCAATTTTTGTTTTTGCAGAGCAGCTGTGGTCAAGACTAGTCTCAAGCAACTGTATATACACATGTTGCCGCACACTCATTGCTTCCTCAATTGAGCCACTTGAGTCTGAACCAAAATATGCTGTCTTTCTGATCTTATACAGTGGCAAAAGGAGTAAGCCAAGATGCTCTGTCTTTGTCCTTCTTGCAGAAAGACTAGTTTTTCAATTGAATTAAACTCAGAATCACCTTTTCCATTTGAAATGGCAGGCATCATCTCATCTATGAAACATTCAAAGAAGAGGTTGAATAACTTTCATACAAACCAGATGGAGATGTTTTCATTTGTTGAGCATGAAATTGTATGTACCCACTGCATATGCTGAGGCATGAAGAGTATACACTCATATGAAAATATGAGCCAGTATGATTCATCCTGACTCTATCTATCCTCGCAACTGTCAAGTGTTTATGTGTTATTTATGCAATTGACTTCTTTAGTGGCTCTCAAACCTGACCCAGTTTCAAAAAACCCGGTTGCCCCAGTGGAATTTTTGGCTGGGAGCTGTCAACAAATGTCAACTTGATACACAAAGTTACTGCCAAAAAACAACTGGGTTGACTGGGTTTTTTGAAAACCAGGGCAGGTTTGAGAGCCACTTTTGTTTTGTTTTTTCTACTCATAAAGTGTCTTAGCTTAACAAAGCCCTCTCTGCGCGGCCACGTCCGCGCGCCTCGCAGAGGGGCTTACGACTAATCGTCAATTTTTGGCGTGAACACTCCAAGCGTTAAGTGTCCTTATGTTGTTTTTTGCATTTCAACGCTTCCCTTGCAAACAAACACCACTTCACCCCGCAGGGAAAGTGGTTCACCAACATTGTCTACATATTTTCATCTATTCATCATCTGGGAAAACCTGCTTCATCATGCTTTTTTTGAGCTTGATTGTGAAGCCCTTATGTCTCACTAGTAACATAGCTCACGGCTTGTATTCACACTTCAAGTGTTTTTGAGGAATTCTTTATGTCTGAAAGTCAGAAATTAACCCAAAAGCCCGCTGTACAGGCGGGATTAGTGCAAATCTTCAAACCTCTTTTGTGGCCGCATCACTCAGAGTATCCATGGTGTTAGGCCATGAGGACATGTAGAAAGCATTTACAAACCACTTTCCCTGCAGGGTAAAGCGATGTTTGTTAGTGAGGGAAGCGTCAAATTGCAAAAAACAACATAAGGACACTTAACGCTTGGAGTGTTCACGCCAAAAATCGACGATTAGTCGTAAGCCCCTCTGCGAGGCGCGCGGACGTGGCCGCGCAGAGAGGGCTTTGTTAAGCTAACAAAGCGTCACATGACATCGGAAGTTAGTACAACTTGAGTTTGAATTTTTCATTCACAGCACCATGATGAGTTTATCTTGCAATGCAAGTGATCAAAGTGGATTATAGCAAGTACATACATACATATGCAGAGGAGTGCAGTCACAACCACATCACCAATTCTATCTTACCACCAAGTGTAAAACTTTGAAGTGTCACCGTCATATTTCACAGCCACCACACCTTAAGATTGTACACATGTGTGTAATTCATTCTCCGGTTAACGATCGCATACAGTTTACAACAGCATACATTCTAGAACCAATCGATCAAAAGGTAAACAGACTCAAACTAAAAGAGTAAACACTATCAAAGTCATCAATTCAAATTAAATCAAGAACTACAAAATAGAAATGAAGTGAAAGTCAAAGTGTATAGAAGTGTAAAAACATTGATAAATTTCTTTCAGAAGACAGAAACTCAGGATTCGAATCGTGAGTGAAGTTTCAGTTTTCTTGATTTGTCTTTCAAAAATCTGATAATCGATTTTCAGTTTGATTGTGATTTGATAGGAAAACTAGTCAAAGGAAAGAAAGAAAGAAAGAAACCATGAAGAAGAATGAAGAAGAAGAAGAAAAGAATGAGAATCAAAAGAACTCATCAGCCATCAATCAATCATCAACGAATCCTGAACCATCATCTTCATCATCATCACCAAAACCATCCTCAGATTTATCAGGCAATCATACCACTAATACCACTTCAAATCAACTCGAACCGATCGAAGGTGATTTCAATCCAATTCCATCAACTTTAACTATCTCAGAACAACAAATCTCACAAGAATCTGATGACACATCAAAATCAGAATCAACTTCCAATCAATCTCAACCAACAATCGATTCCAATCAAAAAACTGATCTTCGTCGCGTAAAAGTCTATGAGCTACAGGGCGATACCTGGTTGGATCGTGGTACAGGTCATTGCATTGGTGTCTTAAATCCTCATTCATCTGAACATCAATCCAATCAAATCCCTTCAGAACCGGAACCGAGTACATCTAACTCAATCTTACCTCAATCTAACCCAAGTCATGAAATATCAGCAAGATTAGAAGTTCGTCAAGAAGCGAGCGAAGGATCTATCGGAGGTCAACTTTTATTAAGATCTCAAGTTCTTCGACCTAACAGTATGGCCGACTTTTGGAATAAACCAAAAAAAACATCTTCATCTTCTCCTTCCTCATCATCATCTTCATCTGATGAAGACGACGACGACTTGGATGATGACCTACCAGATGATGACGATGAGCTCGATCATCCTACGAATCATAGGGGCAAACGTTCTACGAGAGGCTCCTCCGGCCTTCTGCGGCCCACATGGCCGGAAGGCGGAGGGATCTATCAACGCCAGCAGGCCACACTTGTCGTCTGGACTGAACCCGATGGTACTGATATGGCTCTCTCCTTTGCTACTGCTCAAGGTTGTCAAGAAATTTGGACGTTTCTTTGCGATGTCCAGAATTATCTAGGGCCATCTACCAACTTCCATCTCGATCAATCCTCTCTCGATCATGCAATCAACACGAGAGGATATGGTCAATCTGGACATCATCGTAGAGACGCTGTGATTTGGGATGATGACGATCCTAGCGATGGGCCCTCCGGTCATGATCATCTACACAGCGGCGGACTTGGCTCCAATGATGATGATGATCACCTCTCACTCTCTATCGATCTCTTCACCCATTCAACACATCCATCTTCTCAATCACCTGCGGTAAATTTCTCCGCCTTCTCTACAGCCTCTTCTTGCCCTTCATTCATTCCGAGTTCTCAACCTCTCCCCACCCTACAGATCACCACCCTTCCGGATCCAACACTCAGTAATATACAAGAAATCGAAGGGATGATCAAATGGGCTTCTAGGTCATCCTTTGGTCGCGAACGAGTCTCAAGTCATATCCTCAGAAGAGATTATGTGAAGAAACTTGAAGCGATCAAAACCGAGGCCGAAGATCTTGAAAGTCTCAAGGACTTGAACGCCCTGTGTACATTGGTGCACAGCATTTGTATGTTTTCTCGTCGCACAATCTCCGGCGCATGGTGGCATTGACATTCATCTTTGGAACTTGGGAACAGTAATGTTAAATGATGCAGCCATTTATGAGTATTGCCTACAAGACGACATCGTGTTGATTGTGGCAGGTATATTAGATTGTGCGTGTGGGAAACAGCCTGACTATCATCTCTATCGTCTTTCCATTCGACTATGGGTCATGCCCTTCTAAATCGCTCTTTCTTTGCTCGCGAGATGCTCATTGATTTGATCTCTTCCCCATTTTTCGCAACAACGTCACCAGACGATCCCGAATTTGGCAATCAAAAGGCATCCTATCATTCAGATCTCTCAGATCAGACTCGGTTCAAACAGGTGATACCTATCAAAGATCCTACAATCACATCTAAGATCCATCAAACCTATCGACTTCAGTATTTCAAGGACATCATCTTGGCCCGCATCCTGGACGACTCCACTTTTTCGATCATCAACAGTATGATCTTTTTTAATCAGATCGATATTGTTCAATACCTCCACTCTAATGATGAATTTATGAGAGAGCTCTTTGGGATCTTCGATGAACGCACTGCGCCTGCTGCAGCCGATTCATCACCAGTGATAGGACCATCTCTACCGCCCTCAATGCTTGTGACCACCAGCTCCGATCTTAGCGAACCACCTTCTATCGAACGAAAGATTGATGGTATCCTCTTTATTCAACAACTTTGCGGAATGGCCAAGCACCTACAGCCCCCATCTCGAATTGGGTTTTTTCGATCCTTGGCCGAACGAGGGGTGCTGAAAGTGATTGAGTTTGGACTTTCAAAGAGACCAGTTCCGGATGGTCAGCAAAATCAAACAACCGCACCTGACCAAGAGGATCCACTCGATGATTCAGCTATTAAATCAGCCATCTGTGAGATCCTGATCACCATAATTGATTATGATCCCAAATGTGTTCGAAATTACTGTGTCAAACAACATCTGCAAAAAACGCGAAATTTGGTTGAATGTCTCATTGATCTCCTGCTACTCGAGACGGACTTGGGACTAAAAGCGCAACTGGCAGAAGCTGTCCGTATCCTTGTCGATACGTATACTGGCGCAGGTGGAGGTGGGATGATGCCGATGCAGGTTGGACCAGATTCAAGCAGGAAAGAAGATCCGGAAAATGAAATGTTTCTAGACTTCTTTTATAATTTTTGTGTTTCTCAATTAACGGCTCCGATCTTCGACTTACCAGAATACAACGATGCGAAAGGTGAGACGTTGAGCTAGCTATCCTTATTTACTCATCCGTTATCTTCAGCAGTGGTAAATTCGGCACTGACCTATTGTATGTGTTCGTGCATTGTGGTGATGTTCAAGGCCATACATCACCAGTGGAGATTAGTGGAGTTGATGCCGCAATGTACAATCACCTATGCGATCTGCTTTGTTTTTTACTCAACCATCACACCTTTCGATCTATGAAAGTGGTACTCAACACTAACTTACCTGCGAAGGTGGCATGTCTGTTGATTTTCGATCGATACAAATTTGTTCAATTGAGCGCCTTGAGATTCTTTCGATCATTTTTGGGTAAAGATGATGATCATTTCAATCGATTTTTGATCAAACATGACCTTTTTATGCCTGTTTTGGACCTTTTGATTCGTCAAGGCTCAAAAGACAATTTGTTATCATCAGCTTGTTTGGAATTCTTTGAGACCATCCGCCTGGTATGTTTTCATTGTTGCTCATTTCTTCCTAAACAAAACGAATCAACTAATATTGATGTTCTATTTTAGAAAAATCCGAAACCAGCCTTGAATCATTTGATGGAACGAGATGCGACGCGTATTAAGCAATTATCACAAAAATTAGTCACATTCAAGAATCTGATAGCCCGGTGGGAGATGAATAATGATCCTCCACCGCCACAGGCCTCCTCAAGTACTGCAACGGTCGTTGGCTCATCCGGAGACACAGGGTAAGTGAGCTCTTGTATGAATGTTTGATACAGTGTCTGATTTTGTCAATCATCAATCGACAGCCTTCATCCTCTACGCAACATCGGATCTTGGTCTCGAACCCGCACTCTTGATGCAGAGGAAGAGAGTTATTTTAATCATGACTCGGATGAAGAATCAGATGAAGACCATCAAAAACAAGATTCTCAAATCTCGAAGACGGCCACTCACTCTGTACTACCCATTGCGATTCCCACAATTCCTAGTACGTTAGTCAAACCGATGGGACTTACTGGAAGTGGGAGCGAAAGTGGAACGTCTAATGGTCGGAAGCGATATCGATCAGGATCATTGGTGTCGGAAGACGGCTCACCACAATCAAGGACAGGAGGACTAACACGCTCGCGGACGCATAGCGGACTGATTTCAAGTGACAGTAGTAACAGAAGTAAAAGTACCAAGGCTGAGATACCTGCTGTAACCTCTGGTGCACCTTTAGTAGATTATTCTGATGAAGAAGATGAAGAAGGAGAAGAAACAGAACAAGATAAACCAGAGCCACCTAAAAGGCGAAAAAATGAAGATGAAGAAGATGAAGGAGTGTTTGGTAGATTGAAAAGAGGGAGTACACCTATGATCAGATCATCAGGTGGTAGTGGGTCTGTTGGGTTTACTTTTCCTAGCGCTTCTTTGACTTCTTCTACTACTGCCACATCATCATCACCATCTTCAGGAGGTAATGGAAAAAATCCAGCAGCGAAAATTGTACTAAGTTTTGGAAAAAGTAGTAGTACTAGTAGTAGTAGTAGTGGTAATGCTGAGAATTGAGAAGTGGTGAATGATGATATATCTTTCTTATTTTTTTGTAGGAGAGGGAAGAGTTTTTTTTATCAAAAAGGGGCAAGTCTTGTAAAGGTTTCATTTTCGGGTTTCATTTTTCTTCAAGGTGAAAGTGATTAGTTTTTATTTTTTTTTGTATTTCAGAAAAAAAGAAACTAGAAGTTCAGATAGCTGATCAAATGAGATTCTTGAGGGAAAGAAAGGTGGGGAAGGTGGTTATTCTTTTGTTTTTTTTGATAGAAAGGGTTGTTGAGTTTTTATATTTTTGTTTTTAGCGTGTTTGTATGTTGTTTTATATTGTTGAAGGGAAAACAAAAAAGGGAAAAAAATTCAATTTCCAAAAGATGTTGATGTTCTGAACGAACAAGTTTTCTCATATTGAGAACTAGGTTATTGGTGCCAACACGCCATGCAGGTGTGAGGCGCGTTGATTCCTTATGTGTATTATGTAACTCATTTGCAATCACAACATCACAATACCCGCTTTCACTCAATTTTGTGCCATGTTCCATGAGCGTACCACATGATGTCAACTTACATACCGCGCGTGCCAATTCCCTCAAAGCAGTATGACTCCAAGGACATCTGAAGCTATGTGTCAAGGCATACACTATCTTGACAGCACTGCAACTACACAGTACTATGATAGAGGGTACGTGGGAATGGGAGATACGGAGCCGTGACATGGCATAAGCCAATGGATTTTTTTGTTGCAAACTGTGATGTGCATACCGCGAGGACACTCAAAATGGCCGCAGGATAAACTTATCAAAGTCCCCCCCGCCCGAGTAGTTGAGGGAGGGACTTATGGCTAATGTCATGATTTTCAACTCACAATAGCAAGATTTTTGGCCATTTCTTTGTTATTGCCCATCATGAGGATCCCATACCTCATAAAATCTTGCTTCCAGCCGCACACAGCTTCCTTGACATCATGTGGCTCTCCTGGTCACAGTTTAGGGTTCCTGTATTCAATTTGGTGTTGCAGCTACAGCTTTCTACAGCTCTTCTGAGCGGGCTTGATGAATACAATGGATGCTAAAAATTGCAAGAGGAAATGTACAAGGCACAAATGACGATCCTTGCCGCTCAAAGCAAGATTTGATGAGATCTAGAACCCTCATAATGAGTGATAAAGCAAAAAATGCCAAAAATTGTGCTGTTGTGAGTTAAAGAGGGAGACTTTAGCCATGAGTGCCTCCCTCAACTACTTGGATGGGGGGGACTTTGATAAGTTTAGCCGCAGGAGGACCCCAGAATGCCCTTCTGGAACCATCCAACAAAAAAGGTGTCAATTGGGGGTCAAGATTTTGGCTATGATATTGACAAAAGACATCAATCAGCAAAACTCAGAAATAACTTACCCATGAAAAACAGCAATATAGGTATCAATCCTGTATCAAATGGCATGTCACAGAGGTAAAACCACAAAACAGCATGCTACCAACGGAAAAGGTATAACAACTGCCCAAATCAATGGAAAAACTGGTGGATGTTACCAACAAAATTGGTATCAAAGGCCTCAAAAAGTCGGGTTTTGAGGTATCAATCAATTGATTTTCCATTGGGTGGTTCCATAGGAGCTTTCTAGGCTTCTGCTGCAGGGCATCTCAACTGGGAGTGGTAGACTTTTTTTTCTTAAATTACTTCCCTTAATTATTTTCAGCTGGATTTGATGTGTTTTGCTTGTGAAATTTTATACAGTTGAGAAATGATATGTAACAAAGCTCAAGTACAATGATCATCAGATTGCACTTCTTGGCTTTTGGTAGTTGCATTTAAAGACATGCAAGGCAGTGAATTATGATAGAGGTCAGGCAAAACTTTTACTTCGACATGGTTGTCTTAATGTATACTGAAGAGAAATCATAAAGCACGACGATATTTGCTCAGTCAAGGTACCACCTCAAAGGGAATGGGTGAAAAATAACCCTGATTCTGTCAGAATGGGCACAAGAGCGTTGAAAGTAAATGTCTTTGCAAAGTTTAAGTAAAAAAATAAGCAATTCGATAAGATGTCTTGAAAAAGCGTATGTGGATGTGAACTCCTAAACCACTTTATGTGAAAGTGATGAACTGAAGGAGTTAATATACAACGAGGAGAATAATCGATAAATAAAAAAGAATCATGTTCTGGTGATAAACAATAAGTTATGTAAAAATCCTCAGAATGTAAAAATGTTTCAATTGTAAGGACATTCAACCGTTACAGATTGAAGTTTGGCAGAGATCGGGGTCTTTCCAAGCTTGGCCCTGATAATTTGAAATAAAGATTTAAAGGTATGAGTGTATGACTTAGAGGTAAGATGCAGAGATGTGAGCTTACCAAGGGATAGGACCTTTGGCCCACTCGCTGGTTCCACTGGGGTTGCTGGCATCCCAAAGACCAATCTATAGAAGCAACTCAATAAGTTTGAGTGTTTAGGTATGGTATATAAAGGAGAACGTACTTGGATACGTGAGGGTGCAGAGGGGTAATGCTGTTGTCCACCGTGAAGGGTTCCTGCAGGAGTGAGCGTTCGCATGACCTGACCATCGACAGACCATTGGATCTGGAGGCATGAAGGAGAAGCAAAGCGAGTTCAGCGCGTTGTTTGACGTGGAAGCTGATGCATCAACCTACGCGAGCGGGACTCCAATCGACTACGTATTTGTGGACTTGATCTACTCTTCCACTGCCGGAATAACCTTGAACACCGCCAAAAACACCATATAAGGGTTCAGTTTCTCCAGGTGCAGATCGGAAAACGTTGGTTTGCCAGTGAGTTGGGTCTCCACCGAGGATCTCGACGTCAATTTCGTCATCAGTCTTGGTTCCGATTAAGACCGCAGCAGTGACAGATCCAGGAACGCTTGAAGCTTGAAGTGTGAAAGTAACTTTGCCATACCTGATATGTTCGAACAAGGATATTAGTTTAAGGAAAAGAGACAATGGATTGGATTTGTAACTCAACAATAAGGCGAATGTGGAGTTGATAGTAGCACCATCTCCGAGTTTGTCGTTAGTGGTTCCGTCTTTAGAAGTTGTAACGGGTCCAGATGGTGGCTGGAGTATCAATTCAACTCCACCACCTGGAGTCATTTTGATAGTATCACGGCGAGACGAGAGTGAAGCCCATTGTGATCCACTCTGACCAACAGGAGCGGTGAAGTGCTCGGTAAAAGGTGTGCAAGTGACGGCTTTGGCGGGGGCAGGAGCGGTTGGTTTGACAGCTGCGTTCTTGAGAGGAACGGGTGGTCTTTTAGCGTTGCGGTTTGTAGGAGTAGTAGTGTGAGGTGCCGGCTTCTTGGTCACCATTTTTTGCGACGAAGCAAGCGGATGCGCGCCATGAGTACTCACTTTGGCTTTGCGAACTGTTGGATGAGCTGCAGCGCGGCGAAACTTGGAATTGGATGCTCCGTGTGCACCCAATGCGTTATCGACGTGTGAGTGAAGTATGAAGAAAGAAAGAAGGGCTACCAGTGAAAGTGGGCGAAGGAAAGACATGATGCGTTGAAGGGAGTAATAGTATAACTTGGGTGTGTTTGAAGGTGTTGTATGGTATGCTAAAGAATGATGATAATTCTACAGAAGAGCTACTTGTATATTTTAGACAAACTTCGTCTAAGGTTGTGCTGAAAGGGAATGTTACGACGTACGACGAGGATTCAATCTGCTATTGGAACTTTAAGGGATATTTCTTTCAGGTGAGGTCAGCTTAAAGCGATGATGATCAATGACCAGGTCCATAATGAGGTGTAGAGTCCGGGCGACCTGAGTAAACTCCGCGCTGTCGATTGGTTGATTGATGAATCTTTTACTGATAGAAGTTGTGGTCAGGCCTGAGTTTATTAATTTGCAGAAAGTCGTCTAAGCAAAAAAAGTGAGAGTTGATACATTTCGGAAATTGAATCAGTCAATAAAACTGCGAATTGAATTTGATCACATATAACATCATGATTGGCTAGCCCAGCTCAATCGAAGCTTTACCAAAAGTGAGCATATTTCTCCACAAAGATTTCGTATTTCTCATGAAAACTTTGACGTGTGGTTGTGACTGCTCTTGGACGATGATAGCCGATCAATGACTATCCCGGAAATCAAAAAGCACTGCAGGCAGAAAGGAAGCCGGACTTAATTGTCGGTGGTCTCTGCTTGGCCCCCAGTGACGGGTTCTTAAGCAATAATTTCATTTTGGTCAATAGAGGATTGTGCGTCAAAATGCCTAGGCTCATCTTGAATCTGACCAAAAAAGCATGACGCCAGCCTGCAAAGCATACCCGGTGACCACCTGATCGTTGGAATCTGGATTGTGCTGTCATGATTCTGATCGAGATGAAACACTCAAGGCTTCTCGACCTAACATAGGGCTGCCCCGGCAATCGAAAGTCTGTTTGAGGAAAGTCATTCAAATAATGCTGTCAAGCGTGAATGATGGCTGATACGATCTTTCATGCTTATGCGTTGAATTACTGCTATTCCATTTTTCGTGTCAGGCACGTTGACTGAATATTTTCACATACCATAAAAGCGTCGAAGCGATTTTGATGGTACAAGTGCTCCACTTGTAATCTTTAAAAGAAGCTCTGCAACTTCATCCTAGTGCACCGCCCATGAAGCCCGGATGTTATGGAAGAAAGCTGAGACGCACCTGATTGCGCGAAATGTCTTTTATCGCTTAACTTTTGAGACTGTTGAGAGAGGATTGGAAGCAGTGAAGATACCAAATATTGTCCTGGGAGTCACAGAAGAAGAAGTCCGGAGTTCTGTGCAAGCTTCCGCATCAAATGGCTTCGTTCAACGTTCTTCAAGCATAGAGTCTGTATCTCCGATCCACGTGATGACACTACAGGCTCAGCAGGTGGGTATGGCACTATTCCATCCGCCACGTAGTCCTATTCTTAGTTTTCCATCTTTCCATTAGATACCCAAAAGCTGTTAGCTATCGTAGTTTCAATATACATGGCACCACTCCCTGTCGTCCGATCCAAATCTCAAAGTGAGTTTTTCATAACTCTGAATCCAAAAGAAGACAAACACAATTTTATATACCAAGCATCTCACAGTCCTAATACCCAGTTTCCCACCATTCCTATGAGGCTACTAATACAATCTCCGTGAATCAAATAAACCTTTCAACCCATAGATCTAAAACATCAAATCCAATAAAAAATTCCAATCACAAAAGTAATTCACATTCCAAACCTTCTAGGCGTTCTTCTAGGCGTCATCCCACTACCAGCCAATCTACCTAATTGAGGTCCACCAATCCCTAAGACTCTAGGAGTTTGACTTACCATCAATTTCGCTTTCTTCATTTCTTCATCTTCTTGTAATTTTTTCATTCTATCAGCTTGCATTTCCATTTCTAATTCGGTTTGTTTATTGAATTTTTGATCTACTGCTTTTCGATCACGTTCAGTAAAGTGTTGTTCACGAACACTAATGGTATTTAAATAACGAAATTCAGATTGGTCAACATTAAAAGTGGTCCGAGGTTGAGTATCAGCTACAGCCCCATTAGCGACTCACGAGAAAAATGCTGGTCCAAGTTCGGCTAGCCAATAAGGATCAACAGATGTGACACCTGTGAAATAAGAGATTTTATTAATCAGTTATTACGAACTCTAGAAAAGCGAGGGATTATCATACTTACATTGCATATATTCCTTACTCGTCAGTACTAACTCATGATACACTACATAATCAGGTAAGAATCCAAGTCCATAAAGTGCACTAGTCGGATGAAGGTGCATAGGAATCCCAGTTCGACAATTTTGATATTCACCAATTCCTTTGACCTTAGCAGCTTGATGAAAGTACCCTGCACAAATACATTTCCTAAAACCCTCAGGTTGATCAGCAACTTGTCAATTCGACTCAATGGTAGACTCTCAGAGGGAAAATAGTCCTACCTGATAATATCCCAATCTGTTCCGCATGCCAATACCTCCAGTTTCTGAAACTTCATGATATCCACCAACTGCTCCCTAACTTCCCTGGCCTTGCGCAACAATTTGGGATGTAGGAAATGCTTTGTAGACCATAAATCGCTGAACCTACGAATCAAAAAGAGACAGACGACTTCAACAAATGTGTTCTGAAAAGCGAGACTGTATCCCAGCGTACCCATTACTCTTCCATTGAGTGTAAGTGTTCAAAAGCGTAAGATGATCGGATTCCGGAACCTAAGCAGGTATGCCATAAAATTTAGTCCGACATTATCACCATTCCATCGATTCCAGATCAGATCATAGACAAAACTCAACAAAAAACTTTTCCCTTGCTGCATCACTTTCTTCTGCCCTCTCTTTCGGTCGATAAAATACAGAAGGTACCGATAACATTGATACGATTGTCAACATCTCTGCAGAGCATTTATACTCGACTGAAGTGAGCAACATCTTAGCCAACGAGGGCTCCATGGGAACTAGTTTGATCATACGAGTAATAGGTTTAGACAAAGTCTTCTCATGTTGGATACATTTCCAAACTCACATTCTGACATCTTACGACCCGGGACAGTCAACTCCCCAACGTTGTCCAAGGCGCCTAGTGTCCAAAGTTGGTACATTGAGCTGAAAGCGCCAACATCAATTCAATGATGAGCAACGGAAACGTGTGTGTGTGATATCCTAGGGAAAACATAAGAATGGGGCATACTTGAGAATGTTTTCCTGGGGCGGTGGATCCATAAAATTGAATTCAAGGAGATTTTTAACACCAAGAGATTTGAGTAGCAAAACCGTGTTAGCCAGATTGGTTCGTTGAATTTCCGGTATTGTGCTTGGAAACAGCTCATCCCGGAAAGCTTGCTCTGTATAAAGTCGATAACATGTTCTGAACCAAATCAACCAAATCAACATCATTGTCGTGATCTGAACCATGAGAAAGAAATCCCTCAACTCACCCCTTTCCTGTACGCCCGGCTCGTCCAGACCTTTGATTGGCATTGGCTTGACTGATAGGTGTGATTTGAAGTGCGTCCATACCAACTCTAGGATTGTACACTTTCAATTTACTGAAGCCGGAATCAATCACATACATGATACCATCCACTGTCAAAGATGTTTCTGCAATGTTCGTGGCTACGATGCATTTTCGACGTCCATCTTTTGTTGACTCGAAAATCTTGGCTTGAAGATCAGCAGGCATCTGAGAATAAATCGGTAGAACCAAGAGGGGCGGTGGATCGTCTAATTGTTTCACTCGATCTGAAAGGTATCCCAGTGGGTCAGAACACCTTTAAAGGATTCAGAACATAGAGTACACTATACCTTTGATGACTTGGCAGGTGACTTCTATGTCTTCTTGTCCAGTCATAAAGATCAACACATCACCAGGTGGATGTGATAGATGGATTTGTAAGGCTTGTTTGATCGCACTGTCAACATAGTCTTCACATGGTGTCTTGCTGAAGAGGATATCCACCGGGAATGTTCGGCCCGGAATGGTGAAGTCCAATGCGTCATCGAAGAAACGGGAAAACTAAGGGATTTGGACGTCGTACGTTGTAAGCTGAGGATTTCGAGAGAACTCAACGCCGAAATCACGAGAATGAGACCGGCTGTGTGAAAATAAAAAGAAAGCAAGCGCTGACCTTTTCAGCATTCATCGTCGCAGAAGTAACGATCAATTTCAAATCTCTTCTCCTAGATAAGACTATTGAAGACCCAATATTAGCCAACGATCATCAAAAAAACAGATATAGTGAATGTCCACAAACTTTTTCTCAACAAGCCCATCAAAACATCAGTTGAGAGTGAACGCTCGTGTGCCTCATCTAAGATAATGACACTATATCGGTCGAGATCTCCTTCATTAAGTGATTCTCGCAACAAGACACCATCGGTCATGACTAAGTCAAATGCAGCCCACAGTCAGTCTTCACAAACCAAGAAAGCAGGATGTAGAAAAGCTTACATTTCACAACAGTCTTATCAGATGTACAATCCTCGAACCGAATTGCATACCCAACTTCTTGTCCCAAAACGCACTACACATACATTTACTATCAACATAAAGGCAATCTATAATCAGATGTATAGCTCACCTCCATCTCCTCGCTGACTCGCTTAGCCACACTCATGGCTGCTACACGCCTAGGTTGCGTACAACCAATGATGCCATACTTGGTATAACCTTCCTCGTGTAAGAACTGACCCAGTTGAGTAGTTTTACCAGACCCGGTTTCTCCAATGACGATCGTGACTATTAAATTTCAAAGATGAACTCGATCAGAAGGTGGTCAAAGCAGCTAGATTAAAATCATACCTTGATTCTCCCTAATTTGTTTTAATAGAGGCTCTCGACAAGCAAACGCAGGCAAGTATTGACGTTGTTCCTTTAATGTTTTGGACTTGGCAAAGTGACTGACTCCATCAGATTTCTTCAGATGGGATGCGAATTGAGATTCTTTCCTAGCAGAATGTCTTTCATCTGAAGGATCCTCCTTTGGCTGTTCTTGCGCAACTTCGTCCGTCTGTACATCGATCACGGCCTGATCCATAGCTATATCATCCGTGAAAAGTGAGGTCAAATTAGCATGGTGGCTTGAAAATGATGGAATTAATCTTCCCACACGAACCATCTACTTCTTCTTCCTCCTTGACTCCCGTCAAATTTCCAAGAGTCGTGCCACCCAGAGCTGCTACTTTAGCAGCAGCCTTCTCTCGCTCTTTTCTAAGCCTCTGTTCTCGAACCAGAAGACTTCCTTTCTTACTAAAGATGGCTAGATCTGAAGTTGGATCTTTGATCGGATTAACAGGTTCAAGTTGTTTAGTAAAGATCAATCGACCATCCAAAAAAGGTGGCTTAAGATCATGAATCAATAAATGCACTCTACTCTCTTCCTCATCATCAAAGTCAAGATCAAGTTTTCGTCGGCTATTTCCAGTTCCACTCATCCGGAGTTGTTGTTCTTCCCAAAGCTGTTGTTCTTCATGTTTCGCAGCTTGTTTAGCTGACATGCGTTTTTTGCCTTTCTCAGAAACTTCTTGACTATTTGTTTCATCTTCATAAGCAGTAAACGGATTATAATTATCATCTATCGTGTTGCCTTCTTCGTTATTATACCAATCACGATCTAATTTCATTTGTTCTTCTTCCCACTCTCTTGCATCAATACCCGACTCGAGTGGTGGACCATATTCACCGTCATAGTTCTCTCCGCGAACTGTTTGAGGTGTATCCCATTCTTTTCGTTGAGGCGCTCGGGCAACAGATCGAGGTGTAGAATCCCAGGAATGACGTGTACTGGTACCATTGGTAGCTGAAGGAGTTGATTCCCATCCTCTTGCTTTCATCCTTTGTTGCGTACTAGAGCTTATAGGAGTATCCTCAAAACTTGACGTCTTAATTGAATTTGATGGATGTTCATTAAACTTTGGTCGATCATCTTGATTTCTAAACCTATCTCTTCTATCCTCTCTACGTTGTTGAACTCGATTGGCTCTTTCTCTAAATTCTTCTAATGCTCCATCTGTCTTTGGTTTTTCGTTTCTAGAATCAAATCTTTCTTGATTAGCTAAAGCGGCTCTTTTTTTACGATATTCATCTAATTTAGCTTGTGCTGTTGAAGAAAGACCTGTTCCATGAGATGGGGTTTCGTCTGGTCTATTTCGACGATTCAAATTATGAGAAGCTGGACGGGTTGGAACTGAAAAATGAAATAAATTAGCCTGATGGAATGTCTGAAGATTCGATTAGTCACCTTGACTGACCCTTGAATTCTGCACTTTCTTGAGAAGTTGATGTGAGATTCATATCAGAAAGTTCGGATGCTAATCGATGCTTCTTTGAATCTCTCATTTGTTCTTCTTTTTGACTTTTCTCTTTACGTTTGAGTCTTGCTAAATTATCGAGACCAAGTTCAGAAGAGCGAGGTGTTTGTGGTACCTTGAAGACATGTTTTGCATCTGATTCCTTTCCAAGTCTTAAAGATCCAGATTTCGGCATAGCTATACCACCAGTGATCGAATTTGAAGGAAGTAAAATATCATGATCTTGAATGATCATTTGAGGTATACCACTTGTACCTTTCTCATTAAGTTTAATACCATTTGTGAAACCTTGAGATGGATCAAGACTGAGATCTAGAGTTTGATTTGAAAGATCAGTTCTTTCATTTAACTTTTTCCAAAGGGTAATAATATAATCATCTTTAAATTTTCCAAAGCTTTTAATATTATTTGAGAATGTTGGTAGTGTGTTACTGGTTGGAGAACGATAAAGCTCAATCACTCGTTTTGCTAAGACTTCATTTGGTGCATGTAAGTTGATATGTTCTGATATTTCGATTGCAAGTTGAGAGATTAATTGTGAGTATGATGATGACATTCTTGATCTTGAATCTGATGAACTAATTCCAGAGTTCCATTCAATCGAAAGGTAAAGAGAAAGAGCTGATTTCCAGATAGTACCGCATACAAGATGAAAATCTAATTACAGTATTAGAGTGTCACATGTGTTACAGACACCAGTGAAACTCAAATGATAGTTCTGTGAAAGGTTATATTTCATAATTCGGTTGACTCTGGTTTGTCAAAGACATCGAAATCCAAAATTATCAATTTGGTAAGTTTAACAATTCACTTTTTATAAAAGAAAACAGAAAACTAACAAAAGAACTGATTGGATTAGTAGCTAAACAGAATCAAACGAAATGGTACCTAACATCATCACCAACTTACCAAAACAAATCACTCCTCAACATATTTCAAATTTACATACTGCTTTCTTAAACACTTCATCTCGATTTACATCTTATAACTTTAGAGAATATTTCATAAGACGTTCAAACTTAAAATTCAATCAAGAATTACCTACTATCATCAAGAGTACTTCAATCACTTCAGAAACTTCAACCGATCAATCTTCTCAAGAAACACTACAGAAATGGTGGAAAGATTCAATTAAAGAGTTAATGGTTTTAGAACGTGCTAGTGTCATGAATCGATTATACGAAGCTCCTAAATTGGTTGTTGAAGGTGAAGGTCGATTTATAGTAGCTGCTGGTGGTGGTGCTGGAATGGAACAATCGTAAGTTTTTAGATTCGACTTCACTCTGTTCTTAAGTACATTACTCATCGTTTGACTTATTATAGAACCGGTGGAGCAGGACAACCTGATCAGGCAGGCGATACTATCAAGTCACCGCCGCCTCCTCATTCACCTTCATCGTCATAAACTCTCAATCATTCATATGTCACTCACAACCATCTCAGGGCCCTAGTCGTCTGTTCTTTCATTTGACTCTATCCATGCGGATTTCTACACCAAGATAAATCAGACATGTCATATAGATGGCATGCCTTGCTGTAAATTGGGCTCATTGAGATTGAAACATAGAATCTGTGAATATAAAAATTACCTTACTGGCTCCTGCTCTTATCACATGTAAACATATGGTCAACTAGCCAAAGTTCTGTCCTTGAATGCATCTTACTCTCTTCAGCGTAGATCTTGCCCGTAGATTTCTACGCCTCTTGCTTAACCAAGCATATTTGTATATCAACATGTCTATTGGAACGCTTCTCCTTGCAAAACTTTTGCAAAAAAAACTTGAAAAATGACAAATGATGAGCAATTGATTCATCGGGAGATCAACTTGAAATCAGCTCGCTAGATGCGCTCGAGTATATTCTAGCTACCATTAAATGGGACAAGCCTCTTAGCACTTTTCGAGTATGCTAGGGCGAAGATACCCTCAAGCTTCAACCTACTTGAGCTGACCGAATCATACGGTCAATGGGAGCGAGAAGACGAGTCAAGTGGATTGACTCTTGACGCTTGCGCCTGATAGTTAACATCAAGAATTTTGTTTGAATATCAATATCCCCTACCACGTCCACCACCAAATCCTCGACCACCACCTCCTCCTCTTCCACCACCACCACCACCGCGGAATCCGCCCCCGCCTCTTGGGGGTCCACCGCGTGAAAATCCACGTGAGCCACCGCTACTACCACCACGCGAGAAACCTCGACCTCCACCTCTTGGTGCTCCTCGTCCACCTCCCCTTGGGCCACCTCTTGGAGCTCCTCGACCACCGCCTCTTCCTCCACCTCTACCACCACCTCTCTTTGCAACTGTAAAAACGAGAATATCAAGAGTATCAAAGCATTAGTGATTACAATTTTTTTAAGAATCGATATCGAATCCACTGACTCTTCTCTCCAGCCGGTTTTGGCAAAAACCTTTCGATAGGTAAAATCTTATCACTACCAATAAAAACTTTATCACCAGGATTAAATGAAGAAGCTACCATTCCATCTGCCATCTTGATGGTAAAAGAAAAATCATTGATAGGTCCTAAGATTTCATCTACTTTACCGATAGATGATTTATTGGCTAAATAAATTGGTGCGTTGAAGTATGGAACCTAAAGTTTTAAGATTTAAATCATAATCAATCAAAAAAAAACAAGTTGATGTGATTTAAAACGATTTGGTTGGTTTGAATGATTTACTTTACTTGTGCTAGTTGAAGTACAAAGTAATTCACCCTCTACAGCATGAACACATGTTCCCATTTCTAAAACCAAAAAAATAAAATTAAAGTCAGCATCAAGTTCAAACAAGATAATAGTCTCTTTGTTCGTTGGTCATTTGTTCTGAAAACGAGGTGAAAGAATCAAAATCTCAAACCTAAAACTTCAGCAGGGGGTCCATTATCAAATCCTCCACCAAATCCACCTCTACCACCTCTAAACCCACCACCACCTCCTCGACCTCTTGGTGCACCCCTTCCTCCACGATCACCTCCTCCTCCACGAAATCCTCCCCTTCCTGACATATTTTGTTATATCGGTTAATGAATCAAGGTTATAAAGTCAATTGATTGATGTATGCGTTCAAGCTTGTCGAACAAGTTTGAAACCGTTCGATGTCGTCGCCTCGATTGGTATGATTCAGTTATTCGTGTCTGCAGTTCCGGAGTATCGAACTGATAGATATGGTAAGGTGTCTTGAAGGTCTGGGAATTGTCCGTTGAATGCTATTTTTTGAACTTTGGCTTGTTCTTTTGGCGGTACTTTTTGCTTTTTTTTCTTTTAGCTGACAGTGCTCTCTTATCATGCTAGAAACATACTCCTCCCACATATGCTTGTAAGTCTGACGAACCTCAAAAAGATCCGGAGATCGGTGCTGGTGCGGGTCGGCCTGGCTGACTACTCGCATTTGCGATTCGGGTCGCTCAGCCCCCTTCGTTCTTGGGGCACGGACAAGGTGCATGCACTAGACTGGTCACAAAACCCATAACACATCCCCTAAAGCCATCCGAGCAAACAGGACCCTGGAAAGCCCCGATATACCCTCCTAATGGAAATCCCGAAATTTTCCCCTCCTACCTACACAAATTTCGCCGGTTTTCACAAAAAAAACTCGGATTCCTACCTGTTGACAAAGGACCATTTTTTTTTTCGGAGAAAGGTCCCAATATTCCTTCCATCTGCATAAGGACCCTCAAAATCTGTGTTTTTGGGCGTTTCAGAGCAATTAGACATCTTGATTTTTTTTCCGGAAAAACTTGTATATTTTTTTGGGAATTTGGTAGAAGAATCACAAGAGTTGAAGTTGTTGAGAGAGAAATAGACTAGTGAGTAGTATAGCTATGTAGTGTTATGTAGTTGAGTTTTAAAAAAAACGAGTAATTCAATTCCTGGCCAGCCACTGGAGGGACTGTGTTTCCAGTTCCTGGCCAGCCACTGCAGTCGGTCCACTGCTGTAACAGGTAAAAACATCAAAGTGAATCTCTACACATGAGGGAGATCAGGGTCTGAGAATTCAATATCAAGAAGTAGAAAAAGAGCAGTCAAACGTTTCAGAAAAGGGACTAAAGAGACTGGTATTTTTTTGAATTTGGGAGAGATGAAGCGAAACAACTTGAAGAAATAACACAAAATCAAATCTCTAGATAAGGTGGAGAGAAATAAAAACCAAGTTAGATATTACAATTCAAGTATAGCTTATTTTTTTCTAGCTTTAGCGTGTTCAACAGCAAGTTGTTTGAGAATTGCCTTGATGTACTGTTTCTGGCTCATAGCCTTTAACATAGCACGATAAGCTTGAGGAATCCATATGGTGTTAGCCTTGGGTTCAGTAATATTCATTGATGAGGTGGGGGGAAACACATAGTGAATATCTGCTATATCAAGATGCGAGAATATGAGGCGATTTGGAAAGTTTTCTTCAAAACTACACGCTCCAGGATTCCCTTTATACATGTAAAGCTGGGTAGATGCATATGAGAGCTTAGATCGAGTGGACGATTTGGTGATCCACTCGTGCTTACCATTCTGGTAAATGTAGAGAGCACAGATCTTACCCAAAAAAAGCATCTAAAACGAATCAAGAGTACATTAAATGATCAGAGTCGGCAGCTTCATATTTGAAACAGGGGATGACATACATTGTTTTTTATAACCACAACAAACTTGTTTACTTCAAGTGGATTGTCTTCTGATACATTGCCACTTGTATAAAGTGTTTGTGTTGCGATGTCGAGAGTTGTTGATGTATTTTTTGCAATCCAATTGAGGTCAAGCTTTACATGAATGTTCCATTGATGTAAGCGATCCAGAGCCTTGTCCATCTGCTCAGAGTTTTTCAGCATGATGGCTACCAATTTACTACATGTCCGAGGGTCCAATTTGGTGGCTCCATTTGCATTGGCGTGATCAGAAGCCACAGGATCCTGGTGGTTGTTTTTTTTCTTTCGTTCATTACCTTTTCCTTTTGCTACGCGAGATATAGTAATTGTGTCTAATATCAACGAAAACT